TAGTAATACAGAAAATTTATTGCGAACAACATCACCTCAGCCAGGGTTTGAACCTGGACCTCCCTACACTCTAGACGGGCGTCTCACCATATGGTGGGGTATATGGTGGGACATATGTCTCGGTGGTCGAATTGGTGAGACGCCCGCCGAGAGTGTAGAGAAATCCCAGGTCCCATAAATCTCGCAGTTACATCGCAGCTACATTACAACAATGTTGCAATATTGTAGCAATGTTATTGCAGCGTAACTACAAGTTTTGTGCTGTACGGGGCTCAAACCTCCGTGGGAATATTTTTCGCAATAGATTTTCTATATTATTAAAGATGCCAGGTGTATGGCCAAGAAAACACTGACGTTGACGAAATCTTTGTTTTATATTTTGCGACGATCGTTCGATATCGCGATTATAGTATGAGGGAAGATCCTCTGTTATGAGATAGAACAGGTTTTCAATACCCAAATTCAATCTTTTTTCTTTGCAACGATTACACAATCTAAAAATGAATTTTTCACCAAGCAGATTTTGCTCCAAGTGCAATAAATACGTGGTGGACTCGATATAGATATGATGCCTATATTAATTTAACAAAAATCCCGCTATCTCATATGAAGCCTATCTCATAACAAGGGACTTTCCTCTATATTTTACAGGCAACAATGAGCGAATCGAACGATTAAATCGAGTGTTAAGATATACGCGTAGATCGTATCTTAAACTTAAGATAGAGAAAGATAGAGCAAGATTAAGAAAGAGAATCGAGATACGAGAGTATAATAAGACGATTCGTTTTCAAACAGCGGTTATCTTTTCGCTCAAATATACAATTTATTGTTACTTAAGTTGTTACATTTCAATAAAATTTCAACAGTATTGTTCCCGATGTAAGAGGTAATTAAATCGTATAATTTTCCCATCGAATTTTCGCGAATGCTGCGAGTCGATTTCCTTTCAAAACGGGCAAGCGAAAGTAACGCGCGACGGACAGTAGGTACGTGTGTACGCAATTATTCGATAGAACAGTAGTAAGATAATGTTAAAGCCTAATCTACAGTGTGCTCTCCGCATCTGGAAACATTCTATTTTATACAAAAGAAAAATGAAAACGCTTAAAAGCAATATCGACAGTGTACGATTGTATAATGTACAATTTGATGAACCTGCAAATTTTTTGAGCGTGTTTGTTGACTGTAAAATAGAATGTTTCTAGCCGCAAAGAGCACATTGTAGATTAGGCCTAAAGACAAGGAACTAACGTAAAACTTTGATCACAAGCTTGCAATCGATTTAGATAATCCGAACGTTAAAACTAACGCTCCGACGATATCTTTATTTTATATCGATAATATTTTATCCTGGCTGAGGTAATATTTTTCGCAATAAGAATTTTAATTTTCAATATGGGGGGAGGGGGTTATCGTGATAAATGCTATGTACAGCAAGTAAAAAGATAATGTAGAAAAATCGCTGTGCGATATTGCAACACGTGAATTCACTGACGCCAACGATTCCATCCAAGGGGGAAAAAACCTGTGCACGTCCGTTAATTGTAAAACGGTTCTCAGCACAGTATGGAACAAATACGGATTCGCATAATTCAAGTGGCCACCTCCATCTGTGGCCAGGTCCTTAAAAAGTAATGGCGTTTACATTGTAATTTGATAATATATTTTAATTATATCATGTGTAAGGGTTGAATAATATCGCACGGTGCAATATTCAAACGCGCTCGCGCGAGACGGGAAAATGGCCACTGTAGGATCTTTACAGAAACTATTTGTAAAAGGAAGTGAAGTTTTTGGGTGATCTTGCATCACATGGCCTCGCATCACGTCATTCCGATATCAAACACGTTCTGTGTAAACGGGGGGCGTTAAACGTAAACGTGGTATAATCGGATCTCTTTCGTTACTCCTTTTACTTCTCTTTAAAAACGACGCAATCACGAATACGTCCCGGTCTTTCCCCCTGCGTATCGTCGAAACCTCGCGTTTTAGGCTGATGGCAGAGAACGATCGGTAAACGCTTAAGACTGTCTCAAGTCGTAGACGTAAGGCAAGGCAGAGAAAAACTTACGGTCGTGACAGTCTCTTGTGTACGACTCAAGTTTTTCTCTGTACGCTCATCCATTTGCGCTACGTCTTGAGCGGAAAGAGTGTCGTGACCGTTTACGATAACCGTCGTAAGTCAACGCGCAAAGAATTGTCGCATCCGTCGCCTCGCGAGGCGACATACGACAGTTCCTTGCGCGTTGACCTCCGACAGCGAGGGGCCTGGGCAGAATGGCTTGTATTGCCAAGATGTTTTATGTTTTAAATCTTCCTCTTAAAGTAACAAGCACAATAACTGTCAGCCATTTTGCTCAGAGGCCCTGCTCACGTCTTACGACAGAATGATAAACAGTTACGACAACACTTCTGCTCAATCTCTATGGCGTAAACGCAGTAACGGACCGCGCTGCGTCTGCGCGTGGGAGGTAACGCCGGCGAGAGGGAGGGAGAGAGTAGAGAGCGAGCGAGCGAGACGGAGCCGGGAAGTAGGGGAAGATACACATGTTGCGCGCTGCGCCGGCGCGCCGGCGCGCCGGCGGCCGCGGCGGCGCGAGACGTCACAGGCGCGGCAGTTGCGGCAAGATGGCGGCGGCGAGGGAAAATTAGCGGCGGGACGCGCGCCGGGAGACCGTCTCGTCAGAGTCGAGCATCGAGTGAAAGGGATCGCCGCGCGTGAGCGGCGCGAGACGCCGGCCGGTTTACCGTTGGTTCGTCGTCCGATCACGCTATCCGCCCGTGAGGATTCCCGCCGCGAGGGATCGCGTTACGCGAGGAAGCGCGTCGCGCCGTGACGTCACGGCCACGGGGCGCCCCCACCACCGTCGCTCTGCCTCTCTCTCTCTTTCTCCCGGCGACGGGCGTTCGCGTCTGTCGCGTCGGGGCTCGCGCGGAGCGGCGTGTTTCGGCCGCGCCACGGCACGGGTAGCGAGCGCGACGCGAGTTGAGTCGCGCGCGATCGGTTCGCGCGTGTGCCACGTACGGAGGGATCGTTACGGTTTGTGCTCCCAGTGTGTGCCGCGGAAGAGGACGTCGGGGAAGTCGACGGCGTGAGTCGGTAACCACGCGCCGCGACGCGCGCAGCAGGTAGCCGGAGGAACGTCAGGTCGGGCAGCCCGAGCGCCACCGGCTTGTTGTCAAGATGGCGTCCAAGGGGAAGCTAGACATCGAGGTCAGTACACCTTTCTCGCCTTCTTTTTCCCCCCCCCTCCCCGCCCCCACTCCCCGACGGTCCACGATCGTCGGGACGTCGCGTCCTCGCGGGATGCCGTGGAGCCGAGCGCTCCGAGCGTTGCCGCGCGCCGCCGATTTCACGGCCGAGTGTTTCACGTCGCGGCCGCGGCACCGACGGCGACTTTCCGACATTGTTTCCCGGTCGGCCGCGTCTCGCCGAATCAACGTTGATCGATCGACCGCGGCGGGCCGTCAGCCGCTGCCGCCGCGTCGCGCCGCGCCGCGCCGGTCCGCGTCGTCGCCGAGACGCGAGTTAGCGCGCGCGGCGCCATGCGTCGGTCGCTGTCCACGCAGGAACGTCGCGTTGTCCGGCGTAACCACGCCCTGCCACGATAAATCCGTCCGCTCGGCTGGAGTCCCGCGATCCGCGTCCCGCGACCGAAATCTTCTTCCCGCCGCTCCGATTACACGGTAAAATTGTCAATCGAGAGACGGAGCCGCCTACAAATGTAGCGACCACGGCCCGAACGCTGGCGCGGCCGATTAACGGAGGTTTCCGCGTTCGGAGTTTAACGCTTGGAACGTTATGTGTGTCACGGATCACGACGAGCCGCGGTTTGCTCCGACACGCGCGTCGATTGTTTCAGTCCCCGTCGCCGTCGGTCGCCCCCGCGCGCAGTAGCTAACCGGCTATAAATTACGCGATAAATCACGCGACACCCGAAACGAGACGTATGTAGTATGAGGAATGTGAATGGCAAACACGTAACTGTAGAGCCGATAATTCTGTGTGTTTAATTGTTTTTTTTTCTCGTCCGTCTTAAGCGACGAGTTTGTCTCGGCGAATGTAAATACAAGAGTGCCAGGTGTCACTGAACGGCGTGACTCACGACGGTCCCAGCCATTATCGAGGAGAGAAATTATGGAACGATTATGGCGGATGACGTTCATAGCCCGCGGTCGTGGAAAAAAAATTGGATATTTTTTTGGTCAAAGGGAAAGACTCCGCGCTCTTCGTCGGTTGCTCTCGCGGGCAAATGGAATGTTCGTGAAACGATGAAGTAAGGACGAGGGGAGTTTCTCGAGTGTCTCTCGCATCGATTGTCGCGTATCGTAATCGCGCGTATTATTGTCCATCGGGGAGAATACGCGCTTCTTCAAATAGATTGACCGCTCGATTGGCGCGATGAACGCTCGCACGATAAAAGGCCAAGAATATTTCCTCGGGGATATTTGTGCGAGCGACGGAAATATCTCCCTCTCTCTCCTTCCCTCTCGGCGTCGATATCTGCGCCTCGTTAGATGGATATTATTCGTCATTATCGCGAACAATGTCCACGCGGCCTCGCGCCGTCGTCCGAACGAAACGGTTGTCGCGCGTGCGATTCGCCAAGCCTTTTGAATTATTTACTCTGACGAAATCGCGCAGCCGCGCGACACGTCATCGAGCTGCGGTCGGTTTTACGCTCGCGCGACTATTTTCGAGGGAATTCGCGCGGAGGCGATAATGCCGAGCCGACGCGTCGCGACGGTGCGACGGAGAACGCAGGACGGGGGAGAAAGCGAGCGACGATCGCATTGTCCCTATTCCGAAGACAAAAACGCACGTGGCATTGAATATGCGACGCGACGCGCGTCACTCGGAAAGAAATTGGTATGCGAGTCTTCCGAGTTTTGCCGATCGTATAGTTTGAAATAAATTTGTTTGCATTATCGAATGAGTATTGAAAATTTGTCTCGTTAATATTGTTATTAATATTAATGATTGAGACGGGAAACTTATAGTCGACCCAACTGGCTAGTTGTTAAATTAGTTTATTAAACAACATTTCGACCCTATTATTTTTGGGTCCTTTTCGACGACGATTACTGACTCAGTATCACTCGAAAAGGACCCAAAAATAATAGGGTCGAAACGTTGTGTAATAAACTAATTTAACAACTAGCCAGTTGGGTTGACTACAAGTTTCTCAATCTTTAATCATTACCGGTGACAATAAGAAAACTCTCCTTTCATTAATATTAATATTACTATTTCCTTTATTTCTTCCGATAAAATTTTAGGCTTGATATTGTTTGGATATAACATTCTAATATAAAAAGTAATGAAGTACCTAGTTTGTATAAATATTCAGTTTAGTTGGCGCCATTTGATGATATTACTTTTGTAGAGAAGATACTTTGGGGGGAAGATAAAAATGGTTTTTTTAACAAAAGATATCCAAATAATGAAATTATATGATTCTTGATTGGATGACGCTTATACTTGGCGTAGTTTGAAACGTTGCAGGTGGTATCGTGCGATCGAAGGGTTCAATTCACTTTTTTTCGGCAACTTGAGAGGAAATTAAACTACCCTCTCTCTTTCTCTTTCTTTACTTAACCGCTGAGTGGTGTGCAAAAGTATGCACACCAATGTCTACTAATACCCAGTGGGCATTACTTAATCTTATCTTAAGGTAGTTGTTTCGCGACAGTAAAAATTCCTTCCAGACAAAAACCAGCACTCAATTATTACGATGATATATCTTGATGCAATATTGTTTTAAAGAATACACTCACGATTAATAATATAAAATAACATTTATCCTTTTGACTGTTTTTTCACTTTTACTCTTAATTTATTGTATTAATTTATTATACTTATTAACTAACTTATTAATTTAACTTATTCATTTCTTATTCACACAATATCTTATTCATTTGACTGGTTTTTTTACTTCTACTTCTAATTTATTAATTTAGTAATATATCTAGCTACAAAAATGTCTAATTATTCAGCCGTAACAATTCCAGATATGATATTATGAATTTGCTACCACAGACTCGTGAACCCATTCTGTTTCGGCATAAAATTAAAATGTTCAGTCAACTTTAGGCAATTTTCGTCCATATACATACTAATGAATCTTGTTCTACATTGCGGTTTGAGCACTTATAATGTTTCCAGAATGTACTTGAGAAGGACCCGGATAAAGTGGTCGAGACGTCGTGATTAAAATAAACATCAATTTTGCCAGTTTGGTCGATTTTTAAAAATTCCCCTTGGGATATAAAATAGATTCGAAAGATTATAGTTTGAGGCGCTGTTGCCACATCTCTTACATTACACTCGTGTCTACTACATAATTCTTCCCATTTTTAGTTTTCACTGTTTATATTGTTGAAATGGAACGGTCAATAACTTCGATTTTTTTCCAGTTATTCGTTCTATTTTACTTTATAACATATTTGTTTCTCACACGAATCTCACTCACCGTTAAGCTCAAAAATAATAAAATGTGCCATCATTTGCGTTTGCAAGTTCAAATATTAATATTTTAACACATAATGTATGTAAATAATATTTCACGTGTAATAATACAGTGTAATAATATATTATTATGTGTAATAATATAATATTTTTAACGTATTTTACATGTAATATTTCGCGTAACATAGCAAACTTTAACATTATTTTTTTAAACTTTGAGACGGTCAATTTTAACTTAATTAGTTTTATTTTGCACGTATTAATGTAAAGAATAAACTGTTAAAATTTGAAACAATTCTCACATAAATGATTTTACGAAATAACAACCTTAAGTTACGTTACAAAACTTCCGAGGAAAATTTTATTTGGAGAAAATGGTTTCGGAATGTAATCTTATCTTTCTAATGTCCCAGTAAAGGCCTCATGCCCAAAAATGTCTATTAACGTCAGAAATCTGTACACCACCTCGCGAGTACCTCTACAGCATTGTCGGAAAATGCCAATCATCGCGCCGATTGTTTCAAGAATGCTTTCAAGAGTCGATTTAGGTGTCCGGGAAGAGATCGATATCTCAGAGAAAGTTGCACTTATTTTCCATCGGTGATAAACGCCTGGTCGCATCTTCGAGACCGAACGCGTCGCCACGCGTACGAGTGTCGACGTAATTGGAAAATTCGCGTAGGTTGCACGTTGCTCCGCGAGATGCGGTTTCGCGCAACCATCAGCGCGAGATATATCGCATATTATCGCGGTTACGTTCTTTGAATATTTGATTTTCAGGGAAACTGTAACTTCGCTCGATGCGCGAGGCGCGAGGCGATAGTGGTAGCAACAGCATTATTTGCGGTATTTCGCTATTGTGCATGCAGCTCGCGCATATCTCCGCCTTGTGACACGAACGCGGATGCACATTTCTCCACGTGTATACATAATTTTGGATCGATCGACTTCCGCTTGTATTCCGACGTGCGGAGCCTCCATCTATTATTTCCATTTTTCCGCCGCTATTGTAATTTCTCCGTATGTGCGCTCTGGGATGGACATAAATCTCAATTTTAGATTCTAGCGCGAACGTTTTAAGCGAGGAAACGACTGGAATGATATATATGGTGCCCCGGAAATGGCGCCCTAACTGCCCTAACTGCCCTAACCGGCTACCGAAATTCTCACGTCGATGCCGAGTCGATCTTTTCACGCGGAACTTTGAACGCGATCCTCGCAGTCTTGCCGGGTATTTGCTTTTCAACGCTTTAAACGTCCGAATCTGCAATTCAAATTCACTTCCAAAGTCCTTTAAGACTTGTAAAACGCGCTGAAAATTGATCAAAATTACAATCTTGTCCGCTGTGGGTTTTAAAATTTTGTTAGTCCATTGTTGTACAATTCTGCAGTTTAATTCGCCCCCGGCAACTTTCGACTTGTAATCGCGTATGAAATGGTCGAAAAGTCGTTGATGCTCGGAATTGAATGTCGCCTCTAGCGCCTTGACTTCCAATAGCTGAAGGAAAACGGGCGGCTCTCTGACGCATCTTGTGTAATCGCGCACGAGGGCTCGTCGTCGGGACACGTCATGCCTCGGCTCGGAGTGGACGCGAGTGGTTTCGCGAGGCGAGCGTTAAAATGAAAAGAAAAAAGAGAAGAGAATAATTCGCCGCAAAGTCGCTCGGAATAATTAATCTCGTCGATTCCTCGGTGAATTCCTTCGCGGATTCGTGTCAAGGTCACGGCTAGTCGCGTATAGAGAG